CGATCCACCACTAGGCAGCATGTGGACTGATCCACTTGATCAACTTCAACCATGGCTTGAGCACAAGCGACTCTGGTTCAATGTGCAGGCGCCTGCACAGGCGGTGCCATGTAGGTCCTTGTCAGGTTGGGCAATTGATGCTTGCGGGTCCAAATCTTGACAGCCCTTCAGCAACTTGGGTGTGATGTTCGCAAATCTTGAGATCACGGGTTTCAGGATGAAGGTGCCAACCTCCAATGCAATCCCATGCTCGAGCCGCCGCCACCGCAGAGATGGAACACTGGTTGAGAGGCTCCCAAGGGGCGGTGGAGAGTCTTACCCGGCTCACTCAGAGGCGCTTTGCATGCTTCAACCTGGCTTCCAAGCTTTGCAAACACTGTCTGGTTACCTTTTCAGTTGAGGCTCAGCCCCAAAGCTGCCTGACTCCGTGAGCGTATCACACGCCCAGCTGAATGAGCAGTATGCAGAGCCATAGACCGCCACAGCATGTGTTCTGTCCATGCCTGGCAGGCCGTGCCTATCCATTTTCTTGGATAGCTCCTAAAAGCAGGCCATGCCTGGCAGACCGTGCCTATCCAAATTTTGGATAGCTCCTAAAAACAGGCCATGCCTGGCAGGCCATCTTGCAGTTACGCTACCTGTTCATATGTTTGTCCTACTTGCTTACCTATCTATTTGTTCATGTATCTACCTACATATGTATCTATATATTCTTTTTTGTTTCTATCTATCGATCTATCTATTTATTTGTCTGTCTGTCTATCCATCTATCTAATCTCGTCTAATCTACTCTAATCTAATCTAACCTCATCTAATCTATCTATCTGATTATCTGCTTGTCTTTCTATGTTTTCTGTCTACCTATCCATCTCTCTCTGTCTATCCACATCCATATGCATGTCCGTATTCAAATCCACATATATACCTATCTATCTGTCTATCTACCTATTTATCTATCTATCGATCTATCTTTCTATCTATCTATCTATCGATCTATGCATCTATCTATCTATCTATCTATCTATCTATCTATCTATCTATCTATCTATCTATCTATCTATCTAATCTATCTTTCTATCTATCTATCTAACCAAATCTAATCTAATCTAATCCAATCTAATCTAATCCTATCTGTCTATCTTATCTATTCAGCTACCTATCTATCTACCTAGCTGCCTATCGCGGGTGGGTGGGTTGGTGGGTCGGCGGGTTGGTGGGTTTGTGCGTTGGTGGGTTTGCAGGTTGGCGGGTTTGCGGGTTGGTGGGTTGGTGGGTTGGTTTGTTGGTTGCTTGGTTGGTTTGTTGATGATTGTGGGCTGGTTAAGGTTAAGGTGTTTTGTGTTGTGTCTATCTTTCCGGTGTCTGTCTGTTTGCTCGTCTGTATGTCAATTGATCAGTTTGTCCCGGTGTGTCCTCCGTCTATGTGTGTCTCTCTGCCTTACTCTGTCTCTCGCTGTCACTCTTTGTCTTTGTCGTTCCTTTTCTGTCTCCGTCTCCCTTTGTCCATTGAAGATTTGGTCGAACGAATGGATTGAAAGAGAATCACTCACAATCTGGTCGGACCAGCCTCTCAGCCTCTCATGGGAGACTCAACGTTTGACTCTTTCTTGGTTGGACTGTCGGTGAAAGGTACTCATTTGGATAACTTGCACGTGGCCATCCATCTGGATTACTGTGGTCAAAGCCATCCCAGGCAGCAACGTCCTCCACTTGAAGTGGCCGCTCGAGGCGGAACGCCCGAAGTGTTGTTACGAGTTTTCACTTCCACGTTTTTGACACCCTGAAGGCCCTGAAGGACGAGCAAACTGCGGAGGCTGAGGTCACAGTACCGGAGGAGGTGGCGGGTCACATCGCCGACACGGTCCTCAGGATGGGGCACAGGAGGGAGTGCCCCGCCTTCGGCCAGGCCCGGTCCGGCGTTGGATGTTTTCCTCTTGTATGTTTTCCTTCTTGGTGTGTTTCTCCTTGTTGCCCTGCCTTCTGCAAACGGTTCTTCCGGACAAAAACACGTGACACCTTGGCATTTGCTCCCAGATTGTGTAGCATGCCTAGCACGGGATCAAACGACTTGGGCAGAGAGAGTGATGGCAGAGCAACACAGATAGGGCGAGAGAGAGGAGAGAAACCTGTAAGGAGAGACCCTCTTCAGTCTGACTGTTTCAGGGTCCTCTTTAGTGGCAAGCATTTCTGGGTTGGATGACCAAAGTCCGCACTGACAATATCAAATCTAAATTGAGCATTGGGAATACTTAAGTCATCACCAAACCCCCACAAGTCCGACTTAAGAGGCTCCGAATGACTGTTGGGGGCGTAACCACATTGTGCGCAATATTCTACTTTCGCAAGAAGTCTTTGCGCGAGCCTCTCTTTGGAAGCCTTGAGTCTCTTGTGGGCACGCCGCTTTGTGCGTCTGTTTGGCCTCCTTTTTTACAACGGGTTTATTCTGATGGTTCGGGGTCTATTTCAAAGGAATCCACAATTTGAGCTCTAGCGTTAGCCATACATCAAGGAGCTCGAGAGCAGCCCAGTAAAACAAACAAACGCTGGCAGTTGCATTCTTTTTTACAAACAAACAAACAGCTTTCCAACAATAGAGCACTCAATGTGGTGCTCTTGGGGGATGCGCTCTGATTATAGCGCAGGGAAAATAGACGACCCCAAAACAGTCCCAGGATCCTGACCTACGACTTGCTAATAAAGAACACTGAATATTGAAGGAGGTCCAACGGTAAGCTTTGCGCTTCTTTGGCAATTACAAGTCATTGTGAGACTGGCGGCTAAGCTTGCCTGACCCACGTCTTTTTCTGTTTCAATCATGTCTTATGAAAACCGTGTTCACCAGCAACAGAAGAAAAAGGGGCCGACGTTGGAAGCCGCTGCCTTGGCCAGAAGAAACGCCGCTGCGTCTGCGGCCTGGCGAAGGTGGCTGTGTACCGCCGGGGGCCTCACCCCTGACGAGTAGGCAGGGGCTGCTTTGTGAATAGAGAGGCCGTATGACTTTCAGCCGTCCTGAAACCAAGGGCATGTTTTCAGTTTTTTTGGTTCCCCAGTTTTTTGGTCCCCCAGGCCTCGCGGTGAATCATTTGCTCACCAACCAAGTCATTTGCACCGCCAGCGCACTCATTCCTGTCAACAAATTTGCTCACTTTGCATGACTTCGCTCACTTTTCATGAAGCCGTCAACTGTCTTCATTTGCATTTCATTTGACGCGGGGCCTGACAGAGCTGCACGGAATTGGGACCTCTTCCCGTCAATTCATGCACGGTGATCACCTGAGCATGGAAAATGGAACGGTTCTTCGTGCCTGTGTCCCCATAGGCCTCTGAAACAGAAATGACCAGTTCATGTAATTATCACCTGAGAAAGGTTTCGCGTGACGTGAAAATGAAGGATTTTTGCATACGTTTGGTTGTCGTTTGTTTTGTTTTATCGTGTTGTGTTTAACGTAGAACATGTTCAAAGTGAATGCCGGTCACTATGCCCTGTGTGAGCACAATGGGTCCCGACACAAGTACTCACTTTTCATTTGCGGCTGACGATAGTCCCGGTGCGCCTACCCAGGTTTCAGTTTTAGGTGTGGCTTGCTGACACAGGAGTTCAGGGTCTTGAGCAGCCTTGCGTGATTGGAGTCTTTGTGTGTGTGTGTGATTGAGGCTCAAAGCTTGAGGAGACTGTTTGTCCAGCATTTCGCAGAGCACACACCCACACACGCACATCAGCACATAAGCAGAAGGGCGATACCTGCTGGGGCAGGACCGTCTGAAGGATCCCTCAAGACGTGTGTTTGTGCTCGCAGTTGCTACAAGGGCATCTTGTGGCAAAATGCAAGCCATGCTTCGCAAATCTGGCAAGTACTGCATCGGCATGGCCGCAGCGATCCACAATGTCGAAGGCTTGACGTGTCTGCATTTTTGGTTGGGTGGTGTGCCAGCACCTTCATGATGCAGCAACTGTGCTTAGTTGTGCTGGCTAGCTTGCGTGCTTTCATAAACAGCCAACACACGTGGTCACATGTTTGTGGCTGAAAGTGTGTGTGTGTGTGTGCGCGCGTGTGCGTGTGGGTGTGTGCGTGTGCGTGCGCGTGTGCGTGTTTGTTTTTTTGTTTGTTTGTTTGTTTGTTTGTTTGTTTGTTTGTTTGTTTGTGTTTTTGTTTGTGTGTGTTTGTGTTTGTGTTTGTGTTTGTGTTTGTGTTTGTGTTTGTGTTTGTGTGCTTGTGTGCTTGTGTGCTTGTGTGCTTGTGTTTGTGTTTGTGTTTGTGTTTGTGTTTGTGTTTGTGTTTGTGTTTGTGTTTGTGTGTGTTTGTTTGTTTGTTTGTTTGTTTGTTTGTTTGTTGGTTTGTGTCATTGCGTGTTTGAGTGGATGTGTTGATGTGTGTATGTTTGTGTGTGTGTGTTCGCGCGTGCGTGTTCGTGTGGATGTGTGTTTGTGTGGTTTGTTTGTAGTGTGTGTGTCTGTGCTTGGGCCATGCTGAAGCACTCATGAATTCAACAAGCAAGTACGTGAGTATCTTGGCAATACATCTCCCAAGATAGATATTCAGTGGATTTGCATTGGGGTAATCCAAGCCCTAAACACGTCAAGCGTCATCATCACCAAGTTGGGTGGCTGCCATTGTCAATCCCCCCAGTGCTGCCCAGTTCCTGAAACCAAGCTGATGATAAAGTGTCACTTGTTCTTGTAGAGTGATCCTCTTCGTAGGAAGGTTCCTGCAGGGCAAAACTCACTCGGCTGTTGTGAGCACGTTTTCCTTTCCAATTGCAGCGGAAAATGTCAGGTAGAATTGGGTGACCATAAGGCTGTCCTGCCCAGGCGGACGGCATGCTGCGTCAACCAAGCAGTGGCTGACACCAGATATCACGCACCGCACACCAGATACCACACATCGCACAACACCGCACACAGGACACCGCACGCCACAGACCACACACACACACACGTGCACCCTCCTCAATCAGCGCAACGCATGCTCAGCTGCGCCCCAGCAAATTCGCTCCGGCAGGATGGCGGGGGTGGCCTTGAGCCCATCATGTTGCCAGAGCGCAGCGACCTCAAGGCTCAATGGGACCGTGGCGTGGCAAAGATCAGGCAGATGGGTTTGGGAACCAGGAAACTTGTGCTTCCCCTAAAGTAATTCGAGGAGTGGGTGCCCGAGTTTGAGGGGCCTGTTTTCCAAATCTAGTTTTGTCAAGGTGCCCGGCAATGCCAGCAGCCGGATTTGTGTTTTTTTGTTGAGGGTAGCTTTCGGGGGTTGGTTGAAAGTGAAACCAAATGCAGGCCCTGATTTGGGCGTCCCCGCATTTTGACACATACCCAAAATTGCCTCCTGTCCAACCCCATGTGTTAAGGCATCCTCAAGGTCGGAGCTTGATTGCCAGATGTCATGAACAAGTTTTCCCCGAAAAATCGAGGCCCCCCCCGCCCCCGGAAAAGTGGCACCCGGCTGCGGCCCGGCTGCGTTTCTGTCCGAAATGCAGCTGTCTCTCAAAAAGAAAGGGAACTGCAAAACGGTGGCTTTCCTTTTGATTTCCCTTAGAACCAACTGGAAAGGGTACCCAGGGAACTTCCCGGTGACATTTGCATGAGAATCAGGCGCCGGCTGTGCCCATGGGCGCCCAAAACCATGGCAAACATCTATGGCCATGCCAGCACAAAAGTGTTTTCGTGCATAGAATCATTCCCACCAAACTTTGATGTTTTTGAAAGAATCCCCTAACTAAAACTCATGCCCATATCATGTGTTCTTTGTTCCCTAGTTCTTCCCAGGTGGTTGTTCCCAGCCCTTCAAGTTGGCAGTATTTGGCAGTCCACAACATCCTGCTTGCCATTTTTGGTTTGGGGGAAATAAGCAACTGACGACAGCTCCCATTGACTAAGGAGAAAAGCAGCAAGTTGCAACTAAGTTTGGCAAACCAGGTACCGAATAACCCCATTCTATAATTATTTGTGCCCTTTCGTTAGACACCCCCCCAACACAGATTTAACTTGAGCACTGCTCATTTTCTCAGATTGCATTGTGTGCCCTTGCAATCCGGGCAGAGCTCGCAGTGTGTAAGCTGAAGCAAGATGTGGCTGAGGTCCTCCCAAGAGTTGTCAACAGTTTGCGGAGGAGGGCCGTTAACGTGAACATTTAAGAGTTCTCCAAATTGGGAAACCCCTTAACCATCTAGGTAACTTTGAGGATATCCCTTGCCGGAACCAGGAGGGACGCTTATCCTTCACATCCGCTTTCGTGTTGCATACCGAGCGTTCAACAGCTTGGTTTGTTTGCTTCTCAGCACCCATGCTCGATGTGGTTGACAAGGCCATGGACCATCCAGAAGCCACCTCTAGAATCTGTTTGGTTTGCTCCACCGCAAGTGAACATGAGCCATAACCAGGGTCCTTTTGGAGTGGTTGGGTTGCGTTTGTTAATCTGCTGCAGGCAGGGTTGGCGTCCGAACGCAGACGGACTATTAAATACACTCAAAAGTAGGATCCTGCCCCAGAATAGGGTGATGCCTCCTTTTTGAGGGTTGTGAGGATCCAGAACCCTTTCTGGGGCTTTCTTTCAAAGGGAAACCAAGAGGAAGCCCACCAGTTCGGGTGTTAAAAGTCCAGGGGACCGAGAACAAGTCTCGCGAGGCATCCACGCAGATTGGACGGCCCTCAAGGCGTACCAGGACACCATGTCTTCGGAGGATGCCTCGCGCATGGAGGCGGCGCTGCTCCGAGTCTTGGAGAGACCCCCACGGACGCGGATTTTTTCTCCATGCGCCATGGGATCCGCCTCGAAAGCAGGGGGCCACATTCTGTGCCATGCATTTTTTTTTGTGGGGTAAAGGGGGATCGACGCTCTCAGGACTGGTGGCTCAGATCCGGGCGGCCTTGCCCATGTACGCCCAGCGGGATGTGAAGGCCCCACAGAGCTTCCCCTGGCCGAGGATCATCTACTCCATCATAGGGGCGCCTGGGATTTCTCTTTTTTTTGGCCCCACTAGGCATCAGAGAGGATCCATTGGATCCATGGGATAATTTTGTTTGCTTGCCCACTACGCATCAGAGAGGATCCTCCAGTGGATCCATGGGAGAGGCATCTGGCATCTGCGTTGGAAGGTGTTGGATCTGAAGAACTGGCGATCCTTGGGCACGCTTAATTCAGTTCCAGCAATCAGTTGTCACATGTCACGCAAACCTTATAGCGCTTTGATGATTTACTCGGTCAGGTCGGTTTAAAGGGACACCAAAAGTCAACGTCACTATTGGAAAGTCCCCGATTTTGGTTGTGAGTTCTAAATTCTGACTCTTTGGTGGAAAGCATTTGCATGAGGAACGCTGTCCATCAACCAGTGATGCGCGTTTCCCACATTAGGACCCCCTAACGATATTTGAAGTCCTTTTGGTTTCCCTTTGAACGCAGTGGAGATCCATTTTGCAACAGAATTGGTCGGTGACCCATTGGATTCCTTGCCCCTTGGACAGCTCTTTATCTCATGAACACTCTTGAATCAAGTGACTTCGAGAATTGGCTGGTGTTACCTCCATCAAGTAGCCCGGATCCGCTTGCACAGCGCGAGAAAGCTGGCCCCGATACGCCATTTCCCCACTTCGCTCCTAGGCTTGTTTGACCTGCTGCTGCTGCACCATGGTACTCTATCCCTGGCTGAAGTCCTACCGGAAGCGCACGAAGTTGGAAGCCCAGGCAGCTGTACCTCAGGCAGATGACGTCTAGCTGTCCGTGCGGAAACGTATGCGGATGGACACGGGGGACCTGGGACCCGTCTTTCCAACCGAGCTGTTTTTGGACCATTGGACTTCCCCCAGCCGTGAACCAAAACGAATGGGTCCCCTGGACATGGCTGGGCCGGCGAGTTTTCAAAAGACGACCAGAGCCCAGGCTCACGTCCGAATGTATTTTCTCTGGTCTGTCCGTCGGACGGATGTTCTGCAATCCATTTGCGCAGCGCAAAAGCCTTATTGATGATTTATGTTTAGAACCAGAAGCTAACACTTGGTGACCATGCTAGTAGAACCAAACATTAATTGTATTAGGCGCTGCTCATTGCTTCGGCTGTTTTCACATGTTTCAAAAGGAAGAACGTGGTGCTTGACGACTGGAAGTTAAGAAGGCTCCTGCGAGAAAGCAACAGCACATCAGAAAGTGAACCATCCAGGATGGTTCAGCGGAAGTTGCGAGCTTACCTGGCAGTAACTGGAGCTCTTGATTAGGAAGACGGAGTTAATTTGCCCCAGGTGGCGTAAGTCTATGAACCCGGCGCATTATTCTGGTGTTTCCCCTGAAACTGCGGAATCCTCTCCAAACTGCGGAATCCTACCCCAACAAACTCAACGGGTCGATCAATGTGGGTTCCCTTGGGCCACGTCTTCCTTTGATTCTGGAGAGAGCTTGGATCGGACTTCCGGAGTGAAAGATCCATCCAGTGGAGTCTCCAGTTTTCAGTTTCTTGGCTCGAGCGATCCCGGCCATTGGCTCCAGAACCACGCCCGGTGCACCCACGGAGTCCGACGTGTTTGCAAGGACACATGCTAAGCGCAACTAGCTGGTGCCGTCTAGTGCCTAATGGTATGTCATGGAGTGGTCCAGTGATACAACACCTACTTCTGGGCTCTCCTCCAAAACTATTTGACATTTTTAGGTATACTAAATAAGAGGAGAGTCTGAACACTTTTGTTACTGTGATGTGGGCCGAGACTTGAGGGATACCGCTACCTAAGCCTGATTCTCTTGAGAGTACCATTTGTTTCCATGCAAGACCGGATGAGTGGAGGAGCGGGTGGTTTGGGACACCGACAGGAGCCGGGAATTTTCAACTGGCAGCAAATGGGGATTTCGATTGAGATCTCATTCGATTTTGCCTGAAATGCGCCTGAGTGAGAATGAAGGACAATTCATGTTGACCCAGGATGCAGAAATCCCTCACTGTTTTGTTGACGGGGTGCACCCCGTTTCATCCGTGAGGGTGATTCATCCAGGGTCAACGTATAAAAATCAGACTTTGCATCTCCGGCAACACTGACACAGAGTTGCTGACAACCACTATTGCATGCTCTGCCAAGCTTCAGCAGTGTCCCTGTGACGGTAGGCAAATGAGGTCCGTGTCAAGGTTAAGAATGCGAAGCAAAGACGTGATCTCGTGCAGTTGCACGTGGCCATGTCTGTGGTGTTTTGACGGTTTTCAAGATGGGCGTGTGTTGTTTAGGGTGCCGCTTCTTGAGGTGGTTCAAAGGAAAATGACCCCGGAAAGGTGGCGCTTTGTCTTCCTAGGGTCCGGCAAGGAACCAACTTTTCGCGTGGATGGTTTAGCCTTGTGGCTGCTGAAGCTGGCGGTTTGCGTCCTCTGAAGGAGGATCGCATTGTTTCAAGAGGGATCTGAGAAGCCGATCGCTTGAACCAGTGGATTCCCAGTTGTTTGGTAAAAGCAACTTTCTCTTTTTGCTTCACTCTGTTCCCTGGTTCTTGTTATTGTAGGCCAAATGCTGAAGCTCCCTGGGATTTTGGACCATGGTAGTGGATCTTGGGGCCCGAAAGGTTTTGAAACCAAAGCAATCTGCGCCAACTGGGTTCTCAGCCTTGACCGCATCCATTGTCCTTTAAAGCGGTTCCGTTGGCTGCCGAGTATATAGTGTGATTAGCCATGGTTTATTTCATCACCAGGGATGTCGCGGTAGTGACTGACCTGTGGTGTTTGGCTCAAGATTTTGGGTTCCGTCGCGCCTCGAATGGGCGTCGCCGAACCCCTGCGTCGACCGACGGCATCTCGGGGGAGAAAGAGACCTCGGGCCGCCGCCAGGTTGGTAGGGACCAGTCGTGCGGCCTGTTGTCGACCAAGGTTGCGGGTTAACCCTTTTCTTGTTTGGTTTGTTTTCCTTTGGTTGTTGTTCTCTGGTGTGTGGGAAACCCTGATCTTTGGGACCGGGGATTGGTTTGCTTTTGGGGAACCTTTCTTTTGTGGCTTGTTTACCCCAACTTACCCATTGCCTGGGCACAGGCTCGTGCCCGAATCACAGGTTATCAGCCGTAGGACTTTCCTACGCGCTTGAGACCATCAACTACAAGCTCAATGACGTCGACCCCACGTTCGCACAGGAGCGTCGTGGACGAGGAGGCCATCCTAGGTGGCCTCCGCTCAAGTGAGGACCTACCACACTATGACTACGAGGAATTCGAGACAGGTTCAGCAGGTCAGGACCGCAGGGGTGATGATCCCGGTAGGGACACACCCAGAAGCCGTGGCAGGTACACTGACGATGGAGACGACCGCATTTTCCGTCAGGCCACCGATGATGAACAAGGACGAGGAGCTCGCTCCGGTAGGAGCGGCTCCGAATCAGGTTTCGGACAAGGTCATTTGGACTTCATCAGCATGGCGATGAACATGGCTCGTCCTCACACGGACGATCAGGAGGCTCTGCCTAATCGACCCCCTAGGTCTCTTTTTCCAGGTGAAACGCAAGCCTCGGATCAGGTTGAGGACAGACCGTTAGGTCCGGGAACCATGGTTTTGGCTCCGAGAGATATCTCGGGTCGATCAACAGGTTCTCAAAATCCAGGTCAGTTTGATGAGCAAGAGGAGAGGGCGTTTGCGGGCATCGGATACGATGCCCTGCTGGCGTCGACCGCAGATTGGGGCAGTAGCGTGAAGCAAGAGTCTGATACTAATAGGCCCAACCCGGTTTCGACGACCAATTTTGAGTTCAATGATGATGAAGATTATGCCGCATTTGCGGATCGTCGTGAAGAGGAAGAAAGTTTGTCGTATCGGAATGCAAGGAGCCGTGCTGCTGCGAAGGCTAGGAGTCTCTCTCGTGGAGCTGCTAGGGACCTTCGTGTGGACACGGATACTCGGAGTGCAAGAGAGCGGATCAGGGACAGTCGGGGCACCCTTAGGGGTTTGGAGGCCATCCATGACGGAAGAGGACTGGTAGGTCCTCCCGTCATTGATCCCTTCCCAAATGTTCCCCCTTTTCCCAACATCCAGTTTGGAGGACCGCTGCATCAGAGAGTCGGGGATATGAACCGGGGTACTGGTTCATCCAGGATTACTCAGCGAGCCGCCGATGTGGTTGAGGCAGGCGCGAGGGACGGAAGACTTGCTAGTGCGCTTGGAATCGAGGATCGTCCGCCGGTCGCTAGCCCGTTAGGGCGAGATCTCAGCGACCTCGAGCCACTAAGGTCTAGCAATGAGTTCACTCCCCAATGGGGATCAGCAAGCAGGGAACGAAGTGCCTCTGCGAAGAGGCCGTCATCCGTAGCCGGAGGGACCGACAGGTCGAAGGCGAGGAGGGCTAGCCCTGGGGCCCTGGACCGATAGGTTCAACGCCGCAGGATGAAGACATGTTTGATCCTGCTGATGTTCATATTCATTCCACTCCTGAATCTCATGGGTCGAATGTCAATCCCAGATCCGGCGATAGCCGGGGAAGGGGTATCAGTCCAATCAGGCCGCCCAGGATCGCTGATGCTCCTGTTTCCGACCCCAGGGGACGTAACAGAGTTGAAAGGGTTCCTGAGAGGATCGAGATATCGACTCCTCCAGCTCTGAGATCCCATTCTTCTGCTGAATCTGGAGATGCTAGGGTCAAGGAAGTATTTGACCTGCATATCCAGGAGCTGTTTGAACGAGGCGAGGCATCCGGTTCCGTTGCAAACACTCTCAATGCTTTTGCTAATCAGATCAGGTTACTGAACGGTCAGGTGAGTTCCATGCAAAAGGAATGGCAAAATGAGAATCGGCTCATGAAGGACAAGGTCGGCCGTCTAGCTACCGAGGTTGCGACCCAAGCGGATGCTGATCGTATGCGAATGATTGTTCAACGGTTTGCCGGTGAGGTCATTCCCGATAGCAGGGCCATTGTCAGGCAGGCTATCGATGAGCAAAGTGAGGTTGTGGATCAGAGGATCAACTCGTTATCCGACGAGGTTCGGGAATCCGTTAGGGACCTCGAAGGCGGTATGAGTCAACTTCAAAAGCTCGTTGAGGACAAGCAGTATGCTATGTTCAAGAGCCAAGGTGCCTTTCAGGATGAGATCTACACTGAGATCGGGAATTTCGAGAAGCAGCTCCATTCGGTTGAGAAGGCCGTTAGGCTGCTCTCATCCTCGGGTGCTCCCGCTGCATCAGGGCCCAATAGGGCTGCTAGCAGTGGAGATGACGCAAGCTTTCGGGACTTGGTCGCAAGAGTCGATAGACTCCAAGGTGAGAGCGATCGGCATGGGGAATGGGCCACTTCGGCCATTGACGAGCTCCGTGCTGAGTATAGGTCCTTTGCGGACCGAATCCTGGAGTCCCGGAGTGACGGGGGATCTCTTCTGGCCGATAGGCCTAGGGATCTGGAATCACCTCAGGATTGGCGCGGGGCAGTCGAGGAGATCAATCGGAAGATTCAAGATCTCGCGAACAGAGTCCGTCGCCAAGCTCGGAATTATGACACCGTCGTCGAGGATGTTAGGGCTGTGAATGGCCAAATTGTAGTGTTCAATGCGAACACGCAGAGACTCCAGCAGGCTATGGAGGAGATAAGGACAAGATTGGTTGATCTACCTTCGACCACGGATGAGATGCAGGCCGTCGTTAGACGGGAGCTCGTCTACTATCGTAACATGTTAGATGCGTGTATGCGAAGGCTTGGGGCTACCGAGAACAACATCCGAACTCTGAACGAGATGAACACTCGAGGTCCAACTTGCTCATGACCATCCTCGTGGACACGGGGGTAGGCCTAACGGGGGATACCACGCTTTCGCCGGACAGGGGCACAGGATCAGGTCGCCGACGCCCACTCCTGGAGATGGAAATGCACGAGACTCTGTCCCACCGAATAGGCCGGGTGGAGGCGTTAGCCTAACTGATCATGTGCTGCCGAATGCGCCTGGTAGGGTTGACGCGGCTCCTCGTGCGGCTAGGCGCCCAGTTTCTCCCGTTAGGGATAGGGCGGATAGCCGGAGCAGAAGAGCTCTGCAGAT